AGTAATAATAATAATAATGTATTACCCACCTCTCCCTGCAGCTTGAGACAGAATACAACAAGAGATAAAACACTATTAAAATACATCCAACAAGATACACAGAGTTAAAATATAAATTAAATTCCACTGATGAAACAGAGATCAAAATTCTCAACTTCAGCTTGGCTGGGTAGGCCTGCCGGAAGAGATGGATCTCAAATGAATTGTCTCTTAAATTAAAAACTGGTTCTTGCATCAGTTCTCTCATGTTAGGAAATATTTCCCTTCTCATTAAAAAGTCTACTTCCAGTCTACTGTTTCAGAACCCAAAGAAAGCATAGAATAAGGAACTCTGAAATTTTGTAGTAAATGAGCAATTGTAATGGGAATTTTAGTGCAAACTAGATTATATTTCATTTTTAAAAAATTAAGGGATTTTGTTATTAATCAGAAATGGTCACAAAGGTGAGTTGGAATGATAGTGTAGGAGAAGAGGAGGAAAATAGCCTTTTCCCACCTGGATCCCTTCAGATGTGTTTGACCAAAGTTCAGTAAACCTTAAGGCTTACTGTTGTTGTAATTCAACACATCTGATAGGATCCAGGCTGGAAGAGGGCCAGGCGCTTTCAGTAGGAAACAATAAGCAGTCTTTTGTGTGCCCATCTTGAATTCTATTCAGCAGATAGAAGATGTTTCTTCTCTCTTCTTTATGAAGCTTGATGGGTTCCTGTGAGAGTTCATTTCCCTCAAAGCAATAAATCACCTTAAGTGGATAAACTGTGATTCTATCATCATAGGGGTTTTCTTGGCCAGATTTGTTCAGTGGGGGTTATTCTTGCTTTCTTTTGTGTGGCTCATCTAAGGTCATCCAGTAGGGCAGGGATTCAAACTCTATTCCTCAGAATCATTTTCCAATACCCAAACTTTCATAGGAAACAATGGGACTTACTGAATTTATGGAAGTGACTGCCATCTTTCTTGACCTCTCAGTTCCCCAAATAACTGTCTGCTCTAAGTCATGGCATTAGTGAGTATAGTGACCAGAAGGTGTACACTAGGTTCAAAATACTTGTATCTAACTTGTGTTTATTACATTTTTATCACATTTTCCTCCATTGTGGAATTCTCTTTAACTTTAGAATGAGAGAGTAATATGGCTTTTTTGACCAAGAAGCAGAGGAGCTTTTGTGCAATTGTTTTGTAGCTGATCAGAGGTGATAATTATGGCAAAAGTGCCTGAGAAGAAGTCTCACCTGAGGAAAAAAGAAGAATGTGAACAGAATGTGAATGTGCTCGTGCTGATAACAAGGGCCAATCTGCCCTCAGTATCTATTGTATGATATATTGGTGCCTGGAGAAGATTTGTGATAAATGTCGCAATAAAGGACCAGCAGCATTACAACAAAATTTTACTTTCTAAAGCTAAGCCAGGAAGACATCAGAGCAGCATATAATTTAAATGTCTGTCTTAAGCACAAAGCAAATTCTACGGAAAGGAGCAAGTACTTAGGTGAGAGGACTACCAAGATTGAAAATGCATTTAGATGCACAATGTTGTTTTTTCTTCTTCTAATTTTTATTTTTATTTGGATCATACAAGTAGGGTTTAACATAATCCCAATTCCTCACAAGATAATTTTTAGAATAACAAATTATATTATTATATGATATATATCCAATTTAGCTAAGAAAGAAAGAAAGAAAAACTGCCATATATATTCTTTCTCTTCTGGTGTCGCCTGTTGTTTAAACCTTATTCATACCGTTCCCATCCCTACTTGTATCCATTCCTTTCACCCTCCCTCTCCCATTCACCCCCCTCCCTTCGGTAGCAATCATATATTTCCTTTATCGTTCATTCTGTTTGTTGGATCGTAAGAATTGTCTGGCTCAATTCCTTATATTTTATGTTAACCCTTACCTTGGTTATCAGTTCTTCCCATTTTCTTTACCATTTTCCCCTGAGGTATTCACTGATTCACTGCCCCCTGGGTGGTGCAGCAGGTTAAACCACTAAGCTGCTGAAGTTGGCGGTTTGAATTTGGGGAGCAGGGTGAATTCCCGTTGTTAGGCCCAGCTTCTGCCAACCTAGCAGTTCAAAAATGTGCAAATGTGAGTAGATCAATAGATACCGATTCTGTGGGAAGATAACGGTGCTCCATGACCTTGGAGGTGTCTATGGACAACGCTGGCTCTTTGGCTTAGAAATGGAGATGAGCACAACCCCCAGAGTTGGACAAGACTAAAATTAATGTCAGGGGAAACCTTTACCTTTACCTATTCACTGATAGAGTTATTTTTCCTGTTCAAAATATAATCTTGAAGCGTAAAGTCTGCTAAATGTTCATACAATTTGTGTGTGTCCCATTTTGTATGCATTTCCTATCCTAGGGAGACCATAGCTTTTGACCCATATATTTTGACCCAATCTTTATTGCCATTTTCCCCTTCCAGTTTCAGGATAAAAAACTTTCTTGTTCAACCCTAGTTTTCCCCCTGATAATTCCCTTTATTTTCCTATAGAATTCTTGTATATTGGCACAAAATGCAGAATGTGAGTCATTTACAAGTGGGAAAGACATGTCTGTTTTCCCTGTTGTAGAATTGCTCATTATATCATATTGTTCCAATGTTCCACTCAACTATTTATAGGTGTGTGTTTGTTTTAAGGAAGATAATTAATTATACCAACTGTTCTAAGACTGCAACCCTCTGGCCACTTATCAAAGAGTGAACTCCACTGAGTGTATTATTTCCAAGTGCAAATTCATGCTGTCATTTCTGAAATTAGTGATATGCACACGTTTTTAGTTTTCACTTATGACTTTGGTTCTGTCATTAGAACTTAACAAGCCACTTTGATACTCCCACAAGAGAATATATATATGTATAAAGTGTATGTTTTGATACCTTAAGGCAGTTCTCCTGGGCTGAACTCTGAATCTTGTTGTAATTATCTGTGTTGGCTAACTGATCCCAAAAGCTTTTGGCCTAGTCTGTGGTAGAGGTGGAGGTGACAGAGAAATTATATCCATTCTTACTGAGATTAGATGCCAGCATCTGTTATGACAGTAATTGCTGTAAACTTTCACTTATGGATTAAATGGGATTTTTGTAGGCTTTCATCTTTGTGATGTTGAGCAATGGGTACTGATCCATAAGGTTTACTAGGGTTTTTCCCCCCATTCACATGACTTCTAACTGGGAAACCAACCATTGAGCCATAATGGCTTAGCCATGTATCCTTATAGTGTGTCTGACCTCATGCTAGTTTTTAATATGTCTGTCACTCTGAAATGTTGTTCCTGCAACAGCTACTAATATATTATCTCATGAGGAATAGCAGCTTTTAGAATTCATATCCATAAATCCTGTTTCTGCTTAAGTCAGTTAACCGGCACAGATGGGGATTGATAGTTTGCCAGATCAATGTAGTTTCTGGTTGCTGGAGAGTTACTATTAAAATAGGCCTTATACTATACCCCATTCTATTCTGTACCATACATTCTGTATTGACTTGATATTAATATTGAAATAACAGTAACTAAAAGCAAATAAAGACCAATAAAAACAAACTTAACCTAATGTAACATAGTTTCATTGTATTATAAAAACAGCTTTGTGAATGCAGTATTATTTCTTTGATATATTTTTTTTGCTGCTTGCTTGAAACTTCCTTTTGCTTCTCCTATAGTTTTCTTTCTCCCTTCCATTCTTCAAAGGGGCAACATCTAAAAAGCAAGGAAGAGGAAATGAAAGGGCTATTCAGTCCATTTCTGATTTCCAAAGAGCTGACACTCTGAAATGTCTTAATACCAGTCCTTCAGAATTGCTGAAGTTCTGTGGTGAAGTTTTCCCTAAAGAGACCCCACAGTTACTCTTTCAACCCTTTAAGCTTATATGAAACTTTTTTTCTGTGTCAGGAACGACTTGAGAAACTAAAAGTTGTTTCTGGTGTGAGAGAATTGGCCGTCTTCAAGGACGTTGCCCAGGGGACACCCAGATGTTTTGATGTTTTACCATCCTTGTGGAAAGCTTTTCTGATGTCCCCACATGGGGAGCTGGAGCTGACAGATTGCTAAACTGAGACTATTGTACATATCATGAGAACTTAAGATTCATTCAAAAAGACAAGGTGGAATACAGTAGGAAAACTGGAAGACCACATTACAAATGGATAGCTTCCATCAAGACAGCTATGGTCCTCAGTTTGCAAGACTTGAGCACAGCAGTGATAGCAAGATGACTTTGAGGATCACATTTGACAGCAATTGACAATAACAATAAAGCTATGATCTGTAAACAGTTAGGCCAGCAAATTGTATCAACAGGTTAATGGCTATCTTGGTTTTCTAAGTGCTTTGCTGAAGGTATTACATGAAAGCCCTTCTACACATACTCTAAAACCCAGACTAAACAGGGATAAAAGGGGGGTGGCTAATTGACATTTTGTGAAAGTGTGGGCTGAATTGGGTTAACAGCTGAAAAGCATGTGTATAAAACCTAATTAAAAGTAAACTTCCGTCAGATGTCCCCCATCCATCTTGCGGACATGTAAAATTCTCTACTAAGGAAGGTTTCAGGACAGTGGAAGACCATTTTCCGGGACTGTCAGATCTGTGTCTGGACTTGCTGTCAAGTCGCACAATTTTTAAACCCAATTATTTGATCCGAATTTTGACACTTGTCTGGAAGCGCCCTGAGATGGGAAACCCTGTCGTTTGCAGAAACATCCCAACATAAAATCAATAGGTGGAAGGGTCCAAAAAACTCCACAGATGAATGAGAACTGAGCATGCTCACTGGTTATGGAATAATGTGTAAATTGTTTGGTCTACTCTAGTCAAAAAGGGAGTTGGGGAGGTGAGAGTGAACAGAATAGAAGTGGCTAGTCACTACTATGGCTGAAACAGGTAGCACTGAATACACTTGGCTGCAAAGCCTACTTGATTTCAAATGAAGTTATTTTAAGTATAATGCTCAAACATGTTTTTAGATATTTCCTGTCTGCTTTTTCCTAGATAAACGTGTCGACAACTGGCCCTTAATGGAGTCTCCGTTTCCCACAATCGCTATCAGCACTGTGTACCTTCTTATTGTTTGGCTGGGACCCAAATGGATGAAGAATAGAGAGCCCTTCCAGTTGCGCTCCTTGTTGGTTTCTTACAACTTCGGCATGGTTATACTTAACTTCTATATTTTCAAAGAGGTACCTCAATTACTTTCCACCATATATTATTTTCTTTTGCTCTTCCACCCTTTCTTCACTAAAACCTTCTCCTCTCTCTATATGTTGGCACAAATTTATGCAAACTCTGAAGTATGTCCAATTTGGGAAGTTCCTCCCAATCAAGTATATGTAGAATTGAAGCCCAAATGATAACTACGTATGATTTACCCCCAGTGGTGCAATGGGTTAAACCCTTTTACTAGCAGGACTGAAGAGTGACAGGTTGGAGGTTTGAATCCAAGGAGAGTGCGGATGAGCTCCCTCTGTCAGCTCCAGCTCCCCATGAGGAGACATGAGAGAAGCCTCCCACAGGATGATAAAACATCAAAACATCGGGCGTCCTTTGGACAACGTCCTTGCAGACAGCCAATTCTCTCACACCAGAAGCGACTTGCAGTTTCCGAAGTTGCTACTGACATGAGGAAAAAAATTATTTGAAATTTCATCTTAAGGGTTTAAAGCGTTACATTTTTTTATATTTTGAATGGATGTTTGCATATGTTTTTCATTGATGTTATTCCGTTATCTCCAAGACTGTGCAAAGTAGAATTCCAACAAATTAGTTTTCCATATGGGTGGAATGTAAGACAGTTTCTGCCAAATCTCCCTATTGTCTGCTTTGCTTCTGTAAATATGCTTCAAAGAGCTCTAAAGAATCTTTGCAAAATTTTTATCATCAGTAAAAATAGATGGCTCAGCATCTTTCAAAATGTTAGCAGAATGTTTTGACCACACTTTACTAGGCCACAGGGGTACCAGTTTTCAACAGTGAAATGTTGGAGGGTAAGATATTGCCACTGTCAGCTGTTCCATTTGCGGTGTTGTTTGGAGAACAAATTTTGTATGCAAAAGGGCAGTAATTGTGAAGTATTGAATAGTCCATGCTTGAATTGCAGAAAATTACTTTGAAGTCAGTAAAAGCAATAGATTTTACTATGAGATGTGAACTGTTTTCTAATCTGCATTTTCAGCATATGGGGAACTATTAAGAAGTTTAACCCTTCCTTGAATTTTAGAACTCCATCAAACAAGTTTTTAGGCCAACCAACTATGTGAAAGTGTATGGCAGTCTCAGCACGGTATATTTTATCTCCTGGGCCCTCAAGCAAATCTGTATCTGACTCAGAAAATTAAGAAAATGACCTCAGGGTAGACCAGGAGGAACTCCAGAACTAACCCCTAATTCATGGTACAAAGACTAGCCAGTGAAATTATTTGAGAGATTATCTTTTATGACATACAAATAGAACAGCCACCTTGAAATGCTGAAACTGTGTTAACTTTGTAGGTAAATCTGTTTGCTTTTTGAAACATGCATTTTTTTTATGTTGTGAGCTTCCAATCATTTCAAAATTATGGTGACCCTAAGCCAAACCCATCACAGTAAGGTTTGTTTTGCCTATCTCAGAGAAAGTGTGACTTTTCCAAGTTCACTCAGTCTATTGCAGAGCAGGGATTTGAAGCCCATTCTCAGACCACTACAACAGTGTTTCCCAAACTGTGGTTTTCCAGGTGTTTTGGACTTCAGCTCCCAGAAGCAGCTGAGCCTCCTGGAGGACTAGAGTTTGGGAATCATGGTATTACACTAACAGAAATAATGGTTCTTAACTAAAATCATCCATTAAAAGCAATAGAAATCAATTAATAGGATATTGTGGTTGTTATTGCTGCTTTTCTCCCAAAATTGAATTCTAGAGCTTATTGTTCTTTTCTCCACCAGTATGTTTTGGAAAAAGTGCTGAGAAAAAAAAAGAGATTTTTAAAAGATTTTTTAGGCACAGGGAGGTCTAAGGAGAGAGCAAGGCTTCCTCAGTTTCTGTTTAACTTACTTAAGTGCCAGCACTATTCACCTGCTATATGAGATGCTGACTGTATAACATGTTTGCATTTAGCAAATGTAAATTGTGTTCAAATTGAACTAGACAATTTAAATGTGTGTCTTCCCACAGAAGAGAATTGTGTATCACACTTTCATTGTCTACTTCTCAAGGCATTCCTAACACATTCTAAATTTTAAATCAGTTGGATACAATGAAATTACTGGAAGTAGGAGGCAGGGTGCAATTTTGTTTTATTATTTCCTCCTTTGCTGTGCTGCTCCTAGTGCCACTCCCATTCTCATGCTCATCCAGAGGATTTGTTAGCCCTCTGGGTTATCATGGGAAGTGGCACTGGAGGCTACAGGCAAGGCCCTTCCAGACAGATCCAAAATGTTGGACCTGTCCCACTTTTACCTGAGGTGCCCAGAAGTGAATTAATGCAGAGAAAACTGGGATTTCCCACTTTCCTCCACATTAATTTGACACCTGGAAAGATCCAGACCTTAAGCTTCCACAGTGCTGTAGGTCAATCCACACAGCCATCTCAGTTCTTTGGACTCCTATCTCCTCCCCTCAGTTCTAAATTGTATGCAGCATATAAGCTAATTGTGAAATACTTGTTCGCTTGGACAAAATTTAAATGTGGAACAGCCAGTCAGTAATGTGCCAGGTGCCTTCAGAAGTTGTCCCTTGAGATTTTATTTGCATGAATGTACATAACTGTACCTTGATCTTTGGGAGAAGAGTGCTGGGAAATGACACTGCTCTTGTTAAGATGACCTATTTGATTTACACATGAAAGCTACCTCTGTGCACTCCACCCATGTGATGATGATGTGAAATGACTTGTTATTGGGCTCCAAAATACACCTGCACCTTGAGGCACCTGTAGCTTTTCATGTGTTGCTGTTGTAATAGGTAACTTCCAACTTGGCAGTCATTAAGTTCAGTCTAACATTGCAAACTATGGTAAGCCCAAACCCCCTCATCCCCAGTCCCACTCACACCAAAGAACTGGGAAACTGAGATCATAAGGAAGGAACAGGCTGCTGGAGAATTTAAGGGAAGGGATATAAGAGCCTCCTTGGGCAAGTCACGCTCAGCCTCAGAGAAAGGCAATAACAAATCTCTTCTGAACAAATCTTGCCAACAACAACAAAAATAACACTTAAGAGCTTCATTTTGAAGTGAGTGGCTTTGTACAAGCGTGGCACTAGCAGTAAAAAATTAATAATGGGGAAAAATATAAAATCAGGGGTTTTGTAACAACAACAACTTTATTCTTGTATTCCGCCACCATCTACCCGAAGGGATTTGGGTCGGCTTAAACACAGCACAAGGTGCCTAAAAACAGAACATAAAATGAAAACAATTTAAAAACACAATTAAATAAAACAAATGGATATATGAAACAACAATTAACACTCAATTAAAAACAGCACTCATCAACCAGTGGTGGTAAGCTACTATAAACGTGGCCAGGTACTAAACAGTGGAACTGGGCATGTGATAATTACAAAGCTGTAGCCATGGGAAGAGGGCATGTAATAAAGTGCAACACTGTATAACAGTTGCATAGATAATTAGGGACTAGGCATTCTCAAAAGGTTGTTTGAACAGCCTGGTCTTCAGGTCCCTATGGAAGGAGGACAGTTCTAGGAGGGTGTTCCAGAACCAGGGGGCCACCACCAAGAAGGCCCTCTCCCTCATCCCCACCAACCATGCTTGTGACAATGGCAAACCGCGAGGGGGGCCTATCTGGCAGACCTTAGAGCCCGTGCCGATTCATAGGGGGGTTGCGGTTGCAAAGATAGGCAGGACCTGAACCATTTAGGGCTTTATAGGTAATAACCTGCACTTTGAATTAGGATCGGAAACTTATCAGCAGCCAATGGAGCCACTTTAGTAGGGGTGCCGTGTGCTCCCTATAACTAGCTCCACTTAGTAGCCTGGCTGCCAATCTTTGCACCAATTGCAGTTTCCGAGCCATCTCCAAAGGTAGCCCCATGTAGAGTGCATTTCAATAAACCTGTCTAGATGTAACTAAGGCATGGACCATCATGGCCAAGTCAGGCTTTTTGAGGTATGGTTGCAGCTGGTGCACAACCTCTTAGGAAGTACAAAAGGGACTGTCCTCCTCTCTCTCTCTCTCTCTACCAATTTTTTAAAACAAATGTTGCTTTCTGTGAGTTCTTTCAGATTGATGGATACTTTTACTTCCCCAAAATAACACATTTGCAAATGTAACTTTTTCAGCTACTTCTAGCATCAAGAGCTCGGGGATACAGCTATATCTGCCAGAGTGTGGATTACTCAGATAATGAATACGAAGTCAGGGTGAGTAGTAACTTCTAATATACATTAATTACATAGACTTAATTTAATTTATAATTAAAACGATGTGAGTTTTCCAATACCAGTTCTATTACTGTTCTATTATTTGGAATACTAAATGAATCCATAATGAAGCAATTAGTGGACATGTATGTACATGTGTCTGTGTCATCTGTGTGAGACAGCAACATCACTCAGCAAAAAAAAAACTCTGATGAACATAAAAGCATCAGAAATGAAAAGGAACAGAGGGATAAAAATGAAACGGGTTTGCCCCAAAATGGCATACATTGATTTGTTGTGGTATACATTTATAAATAATTTCTCTAAAGTCAATTTATAGTAATTTTTATTTAGGATAATGTCCATATATGTCCCTCTAAAATGGATATATATTTCATTTGGAAGATTGATCCAGAGTATGCTCAGTCTGCTCTCCTCAAGCTAACACAAGTTCAAGGCCACTGCAGTCCTTTTTTGTATTTCCTTTTTTAAAAATAAATAAATCTTGAAACCAAACATAGACTGGGCAAACTTTGAAATAAATGGCACATTCAAGCTGTAAGTGCAGTGAGACAACACTTTGGTCAGAGGACTGTTCTCTGAAAACGTGAACATGTGGCCACCTTATAACTCCCAGCTACCCTCAGTGCCTTCAGGGGAGATTTTTTTCCACTGAAAAACAGGTGTGGGGACCTTGATTCAATGATGACAACAGTAGTATATGTGCCTTATGCTTCAGAATATAGGTGACTTGCTTATTCTGCTTCCTCCTCCTCCTTTTTCTCCTTCTTTCTCCTATTTGTCAAAAAAGGCATGTTTAACATCATATGTAACCTCTTCATGTCTCAACATGTTTTAATTGTTTTAATTGTATTTGTATGTTATCTGATTTTAACACTACAATTGTGCTGTGTATTGTTTTTTTGTGTAATTGTGGCATTAAATAATTGCCAAAATTGGAAGCCGCTCTGAGTCCCCCTCAGGGTGAGATAGAGCAGGGTAAAAATATAGTAAATAAATAAATCATGAATAAATTATAAATGTCACTTTTTGATCATTTGCATCAATACAATATTTCAAGCATTGTACCAATTAACTATACAAAATCAAATATAAAATTCAAGTTAGTGTAAAACCTGGAAGATAGCTAGTAGGAACATTGATACATCTAAGTTTATAGTGATCCCGGAGGAGATTGGAATTCCCTGATGCTAAAGATATGCCATCATATTCCTTCTCCTTCGTTTTAAAAAACAGCGTATGTGCATTGTGTAATCTACAAACCACTTACTACAGACTGTGAATCACGAGGCTCCTTCACTGCAGAATGATGGCTTTGATCTATGAATACTGCAGCATTTTCCACGCATCTCATTCCAGATGGCACAACAATCACCTAGTCAACAGATGCAAAAATTACTTCACTCCCAACAGGAAATGCTAATACCTTAGGTAGTTTTCACCACTCCATTGCAAGTTCTGTACAGCAAGGTTTAAACTGCTGTAGTGAGCAAGCAGTTTCTATGTGCATATATTTCTACAGTGTGCCAATATGAATCAGGATTTAAAGAACAAAAGTAAGAGAGAAAGAGAGAGATTCTTGAAAAAGTATAATGCCCGAACGTTTATTTATATACATGATAACCCTTTAAAAATTGAACAATGGGCTGTAGGAAATATAATTATTGGTGGTAACCTGAACATGGAACTATTTTAAAGGGGAGGGATAGGAAATCTAAGAACAGAAAGTAAGATAAATCTTTAAAAATGGAATATAAGAGAAGACAATGAAAAAATAGCAGAAAGAGTAGATTGTCCCACGTATTTCTCTCCCAGACATAATACATTAACCATAATAGACTATTTCTTTGCAGGGAATAATAATTTACTGCCTATAAAGGATTTAACAGTGGGTGCAGAGTGACCAGGAGATCATGCTCCCTTGTATCTAAAACTGAGTTATGATATTTAGAAAATTGAAATAAAGTGGAGATTCAACCCATTGCTTATTCTCAGGGAAGAAGACAGCCAAGGGTTAAAGGAGGAAATTAATAATTACTTCAGACTAAAGAGATTGCCTGAAGGCAGAGATATAATATGGGACACCTTCAATGTGGTCATTAGGGGAATATGTATCACAATGGAAAGGGGTATAAAAAAACAAAAGGTAAATTAAAAATATTAAAACAAGAAGGAGAAAAAATATTCCACACCTTCCAAAAACAAAAACAACCGAAGCAAATAAAGAAAGATGGAAAGAGAGAGAAAAGCAACTGGATGGTTTAGAAAAAATGAAGGGACAAAAATATATATGTTAAGAACGATTTCCAGATTAACTATAAACAATACAAAGAGACTGGCAAGGTTTTTTTTTAAGGAGCAACAGAATAACAAAATTAAAAGATGAAAAAGAACAATTAAAAGCAAAGGAGGAGCATTTAAGGGAAATTATGGCAGGTTACTGTGATAAACTTTATACAAATAAGGACATTGAAAGGTTGGAGGGAACAATAACAAAAAAATTAGACCCTCAGACACAATTATTACTGGACAAAAATATAACCATTAATGAGATAAAAGAGATAATTGAAAATCTCAAATCAAACCATCCTGGGTCAGATGGGTTTACCACAAATTTATGCAAAACATTTCAAGCAGAAATCTCTCCCATCCTATTAATATTGTTAAATGAAATACTGATAAATAAAATAACCTTGTTTTGTGGGTCTTGATTTGGAGCCATTAATTAAATTTTCTGCCTGATTGTCTAGTTTTTTTAAATTACCTCACAATTCCCCCCCCCCCAATTCAAAATCATCACATACTTAGGACAAATATTGATGAGCTTTATATACATCTAATTTTATTATCAATAATTTCTCTTTTTCTCTTGTTGCATGATTGATTACGTTTAATATATTTTAATGGGATCTGCTAGCCTCCTTTTATTGATGAATCCAAAAACAGTCCGCCTCTATTAAATTTGGAATAATTTCTTTCTATTTGCTAGATTTTTTTGGTAAAGTTTTCATAGTACATGTAGCATAGTATTATCGGTCTCTATGAATTAGTATTGGCCTCCTTCTTATAAGGTTTTAGTATTGCCATTATTTCTGATCTCCATGTCTCTGGGAATGTCCTCTTTCACCATTTCTGTTTGCTATGGTGATAGAACCATTAGCCAATTTAATCAGGAATGATAAAATACCATATTTACTCAATTCTAATGCTCACTTTTTTGACTAAATTACTAAAATTGGGGTGTGCATTCAATTCACATAATATAGTAAATACTTTTTGGGTTTCAGGTTATTAAAAATTGAGGTGCACAGTAGATTCGAGTACATAGTGGTAATTAAGGGATAAAAGATTGTCAAGGAAAACATTAAAGTAATTTTATATGCAGACAATGCTATTGATCTCCAGAGGAATCTGTAATGGAAGAAACAACAACTACAGCAGCAACAGCAACAACAAAAACAGAAAAGATGTCAGGTTTAGCCATAAACACTGAAAAATTTAACACAAAATCCTACCCTCATATCTTACACCAAGGTAGGACTCAAGCGAGTGCTGAGTGCATTCTACCAATACTGTGAGAAAAACCAGCTAAAGATAAACTATAGTAAAACCAAAATCATGGTCTTCTCAAAGAAGAGAGCCAGACATAATTGGTACATGGGAAAGAACTTAATTGAACAAGTTTCCAGTTTTAAATATCTAGGGGTTACCTTTCAAGCCTCAGGTTCCTGGGGATGCCACCTAAAAATGGCAGTTCAAAATGCCCTATCCAGTAGTAAAGCAATAATTCGCTTTTTTTACACCAAAGGTGGCCAGTATATACCAGCAGCAACAAAGGTCTTCCAAGCAAAGGTAACAGCCCAATTATTACACGCAATTCCGGTATGGATCACAGGCTTCACATCTAAAGTAGAACAAGTTCAATCAGGGTTTCTTAGAAAACTGTTTGCTGTCCCCAGTTGTGTTCCATCTGCTGTTTTAAGACTGGAATCAGGAACAGCCTCACTCGAATCACTGGCTTGGAGAAGGGCCCTAGGATACTGGATGGAGAGGGTGCACAAAGGGCCTGAAGCGGGATATACATATCTGATTCAAAAAGACCTCTTTAAATCCCACCGAATCAAAGCGCTAAATCAGAAACTCAGGCAGATGGGCCTCTCAGAGAATACATTGAGCGGTTTTGAGCATAAAAAGTTAATGCAGATCTTAGCGGAACGGATCAGTGACATAGACAAACAGGACTCAATGACTCTGGCGCGCTCCACATGCTCTCCATTGAGTTTAGGCCTAACATTTAATTCTTTGGGAGGTGCCAAATACTTAGAAAATTTAAACATCCCAAAATTTCGCCTTGCTTTCAGTTGGGCCAGATTCAATGCCCTCAAATCAGCCATACTAGAGGGCAGATACAAAGGGACTGATTACGAACACAGAGTTTGCCCATGCGGGGAGGGTAAAATTGAAACTGTAACACATGTACTTTTTATTTGCACAATTTACAAGGATGATAGACTAAGGTTAATATCCTCTCTACTCACCAAGTGGCCAGGGAGATCCCTAAGTTGGTACTGCACTTATTTACTGTCTGATCTTGACAAAAGGGTAACGGAACAGGTGGCCAAATTTCTGTTTGCAGCGGCAAAAAGCCGCAAGTGCTTCATGAATAACCTGTAAAGGTTGAGTGTAACAAAGAGTACTCGGGAGACTTATTATTAACTTGCAATCAGTTTCTGTTTTAGGTTATATAGACAGCCATTCATCCGATAGCGAATGGTGATACTTGTTTTTATTAATTATAAGCCAAATGTGATGTTATTAATTGTAAATTGTTGTATTTCATCATTCTACTTTCACTTGACTTAGCCGATGGTTTGTTGACCGAAATAAAGGCTACTGACTGACTGACTGACAAAATCCTACCCTGGAAAAAGTTAAAAGAAGTGCAGACTACTCTGGGCACAAAATTGAGGAAAAAGAAG